AAAAAAAGAGGTTCTACCTTTCTGGTGAGATTAGGTTCATGTGTTGATTTGTTATGACTGATTTTGAAAAGCAAGCTTTTATTTTGGTGCAAGTAATGTTAAGCAGGAAATATGCACCAAAAAAGTTGCTAAGCAGTTGAGGGGGAAAAAAAGAAAAAGAAATCACTTTGAATCCATGTATGCAGATTTCACTGAGCCAAACATTGACGTCAAGATTTTATATGCAAAGCTCCAAACGGGTGTCAGGGCATCTTGTATCTTGTCCCCAGCGTTTCGTTCAGACTAAGCCCATCTGCCTCAGCGAGGACACTACGCATGCATTTAAACACAGAATATCTGGAAAAAAAAACAAATACAAAAAACCTGAACATGAATCATTTTCAGTCCCGCTATAGCAGTTCGACACTCTATAATCAGTCATTTGAACTTTAATGAGCCACTTGAGTTCACACACAGTCATTGGGATTTTGGAATGGCTGTGCCACAGGTCTAGGAAATGAATTATGAAAAGATTCCATGTACCCCCTGCAATGTGCTACATACATGTAACCCCGGTTGGGAAACAGTGATGTCATGTATGTCTGCTACTCTTGACAGTTTAGGAACCATGTAAACAATCAAAAGTATAAGAACTTTACCTTTGACCCTATTTCTTTATGTTCGTTTTTCATCTTGGGCTTATTGGTGTTGGTTACCCTTGAGAAGGACATGCATACACACACACACACACACACACACACACACACACACACACACACACACACACACACACACACACACACACAAGCCAAGTCACACCAAAAAAAATTCAGCATGTTACGTGAGAGCGACAAGCTGATGGCAGGGCTCTGAGCCTCCTTTCGTGCTGTCTGTTTTTTTCAATCCTTGTTTGACTTTTGGATCTTGTGTTTCATTAATTTTAGAAAATTCATTTGACCACCAGACCATTCAAGTTCCGGCCATGTACTATGAATCTCACATTCCGGTGCCCTAACCTTACACAGTACAACGTTCCAAGTATAGATACAAAAACAAGTCCTCCTCTCAAAGAGCAGAGAGGTTCACATTCAGTTGATGGATGCTTATTGCAATGAGGGCCACCTGCAATGACAATTACATCTGCGGAGGCCTGCAGTGTTTCGAGACAGGACAGCAGGCAAACTCATTGATGGCACTGTGCCCGGAACGACTCCGTCTGTCCCGCCGCTGATGTAACCTCCATCACCACCTCTCTCTCGCGAGGGGTGTTGACCATGGAAAAAGTGCCACCGCACAACCAAAATTACACCGTTGACTTTTTGAAGGGTCGTCTGATGTACTGAAACGACATTTTGGTTGTGCGACATGCACAGAACCATCTGCGGTCGCGCAGTTGGAAACTTGCATCTGTTGTTTACACAAAGTTTAGCTTTGTTTATGTGGGGGCTGTACATTTTTTAAAATCTTTATTTAATGTGGCACTTTGTCTCCGTCACACGCAGGTGGCCTTCACGGTATTTCTGTGTGAGCGAGACTCTGAAGGCATTGTTGAGCAGAGACGTCTGTATTTTGGTAACAGATGAGCTGAACGGGGAATGAAAATCACTTGTCCTCAAGTCAACAAAAGGAAAAATGTTCTGGAAATATTTGTTGACTGAAATAGATTGCAACCTGCCTGGAAGCCTTCAAAGGGCTTGTTCATTTATGTCATAAATGGACTAATGTGACTTTTTAATTCAAAAAAGAATACACAAACGTGAAATAAAAATCACACTGGGAGTCTGTCAAAAGTGACAGCAAATGTTCAAAAGAATGTTTCCCGCATTTGGGTGTAACATACATCTATGTATGATTATTATTATTTTTTTTTTTGGGCTGTGATTTTTGGATATTTAATTGCCCTACAAATGATTTGAAGTTCATAATCAGTGTGACAATTCAGCAGTAACTATAATTGTGCTCTGTGTATGATTCACCTCATTTGCATTTAGTCTTTCTGCTTCTCTATAATTGAGTCTTGTTAGGTCACGGCATACAGTAGCAAATGATTCGCCTCGAATTGAAGTCTTCAAGGCTTGTTTTACAAGCTGATGATTGAGGTAGCACAGTGGACTGGCGTGTTTGCCTTGTAGTCAAAAGTTCTGGCTTGGACTCTACGTGTGGACCTTTTGGTGTGTTTTTTGCACGTTTTCCCTGTTCACAACGTTTCCTTCCACTTTCCCAAAACGTGCATGTTAGGTTAATTGAAAGCATAGTAGCGAATGTCAGTGTGAACGGTTGTCAACATGTGCCCTGTCATTTTCAGCTGGTATAGCCCCCTGCTTAACATTTAGTGAGCAGAGGTTTGAAATTTCACCCTGAACCAAAAGAGGGCAGTATATTCTGTTTTAGATGTTGATTTGTTTTTCAATGATTATCTCATCAATTGCACATGGACGCATAGTTTGCTTCCCGCCCTTTTTCTACCAAGGAGATGTTTCAATTGATGGTATGTGATTTTCGCTAGTTAAAAAAACGACGTGGTAGAATTGTTTTATTTTCAAAGTTTACAGTGCAGCTCCTCTTGGTTGATTCAAAATACTCACAGGGATGAATGAAACATATACATTATAATCACGCCCAACTACATCATGAAAACCAAGTATAAAATTGTACTGTCATGACCTTCAGCGTGGTCAAGGATGCACACGGTCTCTGATGCAATCTGTTCACTTTTTTGGAAGAAACAAAACGGCAAAAAAACACACACACCAGAGCTGCTGATGGCCACCACTCACACCCATACGCTCGCCCGCAAGTCCGATCCAATCTTCTCGCCTGGCTCATCCCCTTCTCAAATAGCCCCGCCCTCACATACACAAAAAACAATGAACAGCTATCAGAGTACATTTAGTAGCAACAATACTCATGAGGACATTGCAGAATTGTAATCGACACATATGCTACAAAGTGGACCCTAATGAGTCCACGGCTTGGAACAAGCGATGTGAAAGATACAAATAGAGGGAGAGAAAAACTACCAATGATGATGATGAGGTTGGTGAATTTTGTATGCTACCTATCCTGTTCAGGGTGATTGGTGACTTGGGGCAAAAGGCAGACGACATACTCGACTGGTAAGTGGCCCGTACGTACATTGTCACTCACATTCATACCTTAATTGAGTGAATATGACCGAAGCTGAGAATCACTCATTCATCGGCTTGAGGAAATTTCCAAATGTCAGCAGGACAAATTTATGAACATGAGTGTTGGACTGTGTTCAAGTCTTTTAGTTTTATAATTGCAAATGTAGTTACATATTGGTTGTGCTTTGCCATATAATGCACCTATGAAGCAGCTTTTTAAATGATCGTGCTGAGTCTCTGCAATGAAAAACACAGACTAAAAAAAGACAAGCTCTACATCTTCTCTTAATTTATTTGCTTTTCACACAGTCACTGTAGTTCCAACAAATGAATATCAACTAAAATATCATGTAAGATAAATTTAATTCTTATTTCTTCAATCAATTTGCATATAAATCTTTCAAAAATGTGATCCAAACTCAACATATATTGTTTTTAATTACACGCACGTGCAAGTCATTTTCCTGTGGCTTTATGGGAAAAAAAAAGGATACGTTTTTAGCATTTCACCTACAAGTACATTCGCACATATTTGCCAGTCAAAATGTTTTACTCAGCATGAGAGGTTCCATGCTTCCGCTTTGTATTTGCATATTGGCTTTATTTGAAATGAAAGTAACTGTTTCTGAAGATTTACGAGTGGCATGTTCAGCGTTTTAGCAGATTGTGTGCTACACAAACGGATGTAACCCATGCACCTTTCGGTCCCAAATGCTTAGTAGCGTTCCCAAAATGCAATCATACCACCCCACACCCAGGAAAAAAACGCATCTGCAAAATTGAGGCAACTCCATCATGAGGCACTAACTGGACTGATGGATCAATACGTGTAATCAGCGCCACGGCAATTAATAGAACAGAAACAAAACACATTTCTCATGAGAACACGTCGAAATGACTCGAGGGGGAATGATCCTGAATGGCGCACTTCCTAAACTGAATTGCGTGTGCGCGTATTGCATGCGCATCCAAAAACTGCAGTCACGCCAAAGAGACGCAGGTGGGCGCTTTTTCTAACACGTGGTCAAAATCAAAACGGACTGTTTTTCTCACGTGCACGTTGGAGTGTCAGGCTGAAAAACGGCATTTCTGAAGCACAGCAGTTCTTGATATTACGTTTCTTTCTTATCCTTGCAATAGTCATCGTTTCATGGGTGGCTTTGTCTGTTGGGTTTTTTTTTTCAACGCAACGAATTTCCTCAAGTTTTACGCAAGTGGTCATTTGTTTTGTTGGAATTCAAAACACAGAGCTCGCCAGTGGTGACGTGAATGGAGAGGGAGTGCGCGTGCCTGTGTGTGTGTGTGTGTGTGTGTGTGTGTGTGTGCGTGCGTTTGTGTGTGTGTGTGTGTGTGTGTGTGTGTGTGTGTGTGTGTGAGTGCGCGTTTTTGTATGTGTGTGCGCGCGCAAAAATCTCCCTGTGTGGGCGGGAAGGATTGTGCAATCAAAGTGAAGATTCGGGAGAGGGAGCAGAGACAAAGTAGAAAAGCCCTTCAGCACCACTCGCCTCCGGACAGCGTCTGAAACGGTGGAGTGGATGGGGAAAAGATTTGCGGGAGATTTGCCGGAAGGCTGCAAACTGGAACTGGAAGTTCAAATGTGCACTTGTTGTCCGCACACGTCCTCGTCCATTCGTGTCTAGTTTGCGCCGACAAACTAAAGAAGCGAGAGGGGCAAACCACCAAATCACTGGACGGCCACAACGTAAGTTTTCGAATCACTTGGAATATTTTTCCCGGAATACGCGTTTCATTTCTGCACACGCGTGTGTGTGTGATTCCAGCGTACATTAGAGTTACACGAACATGTCAGTTCGTCTCCGTTGCACACACTCGGTTCTTTTCCTCTTTTGATCATGCTTGGGAGTCTTGAGGAACACCCCGGTGTTGTCGTGATGAAACAATGTGCGTAATGAGCATTTGATTGTCATAATGGCCTCAACGCGCACGTGGACTACGAAGCCTCTTCTGATATGTCGACCCATGAATTTTTGAGAGAGGCGTTCATTTCTCCGTCATCACACGTTCAACAGATGAATGACAAAAGGCTTTAGAGCGCAAACGAGCCTTCACTCGGCCATACAATGGAGCCCTTTATCTGCTGCATGTATTGGAGCCCCATGCGCCCCCAACCCCCTTTCCGCTCTACTTGGCTCGGCGGTGCACCTCACACAGACATATCCGAGGAATCCATAAAGATATAATCGCGAGGAATCCAGATAGATGCGGTCACGCACACATCAACACGGCGGAACTTCAAAGTAAGGCAATGCAAACGAGATTGCATTGCGCATTACCGCAGGCGCGCTCGAAAGAACGCGCGCTCTTTCGGCGAGTTGTTCTTGCGCAGTGACGATGAGCCGCGGTTGCGTTTCATCACTTTAAAGTCTGCCTTGACGTCTCTTATGTCAGAGGCCTCTTGTGTGTTCGCATCACTGTCGGCTAATGTGCATGCGGTGCATTCCTATCATATTTCATCAGCATTCAACTGTCTCCTGATGCGAGAAGTAACAGTAAAGTAGCCTATAGTAGACTTTCTGCAATTACTGGTGATGGTTTCAAAGGTTCACTTTGTCAACATATGGATAATGTATTCCTCGGCGGTTGTCAGGTAGTGATCATGAATGGATTCTGCAGAGGACATTGCTGCAGAAAGGCAAACATCCATTTGATTTGACGGCAAAAGTTGTTAACGGGAACCTGCCCCCAGATTCATCATATTTTGCGTTCAGACACATGGAACCTCAAATTGCTTGTTAAAAGTAGATGTCAAAACAGCAATTATGGAAAAGAGCAACGAGCTGTTGGCAAGAAAGAAGATTAGAAGCAAATCACGCAGGCGGTGAGCAATTTCGGATTTGCTAAAACCTGCCTCTCAAAAATAAAAAACAAAAGAAAACACGATTTAGGCCTACATCTGCACACATTGCTTAAATTATCCGTGGGTTTGAATGTGAGTCCAAATGATTGGTTGGTCATAAGTCCTGTGACCGATGGATAATCACTCAAGCAGTGGTGAGTGACCAATAGAGGGCGCCATCATTCCCCAGGAAGAAATGAAAGATTCAAAAATACAAATGAAATAATCACATTCTTATGATGTCGTTTTTCTGAAATGCTGTTACATTTACAGCATGTTACGAGCCACATGACTTCCAAAAAGTTCAACGTTTGTCTCTTCAATCCAGAGAAGATTCGCCCAAAAGTCTTGGGAATCATGCAGCTACATCTCATCAAGTACTTATGTGTACTGTACTTATCTATTTATATATATATATATATATATATATATATATATATATATATAAATTTCCGGCAGTTTTTTAGATGTCCTAGGTTCCTTCGTGACCTACTGGATGATTGTAGCTGTGCTCTTGGGGGCGATTTTTGTTCACCGTTGTTCCATTTTTTCTCCATGCATGGATAAATGCTCTTACTGTGGTTTGATGGAATCCTAAAGCTATGGGAAAGGCTTTGTAACCCTTTCCAGACTAAGAGATGTTAATTGTGTTCTCTTCTGTTCTTGAATTTCTTTTTTTGTTTTTCTTGAGTTTGCATTTTGTTGAGATCTTTTGCCAAGTTCATTATTCAAGACACGATCTATTGATTTCTTGACTGAACCAGTTAAATTCATGATTTAACAAATGAGCCAAGTACATTTTTTTCCACAGGGATAGCCAGCTTTGATTTTTTTTTCTTTAATAAATCAAATCACCATTTACAAAGTGAATTTTATCTTTACTTGGGTTATCATGAACTGATATTTACATTTCGTGAATAAAGTGGAGTAAATGTGTAAAAACATTTTTCAAATATACATAGCTCCCCATCTGGAAAAAAAAAAAACCCAAACAAAGCGGCACTGTATACGTGTATCGCACCTCTCACGCTGCTGTCTTCTCAAATGGATTTCCCAGCATCCTGACATGCAGTAAAGCTGTTAAAAAGTAAGCTGTTTGCATTTGGTGCCCATCACCAAGGTGTATTCCTCGTGACGGGGTAACAGAGGATCAGTTACGGGATAAAGACAATGGCTGCAGAATTTACTGTCAACTGAAAAGAACCCCGAAAAATGTCTTGTCTCAGGGGAATACCTGGATGTTCCCATTAAGAGGCAACGCTTGGCAAAGCGCCGGTAAACAAAGGAAGAAACTGACTGTCAGCACAAGGGCCGCTTCTTTCAAGCTTTACATCTTAAAAGATGATTTCCTTCATGCTTGTGCAATTGCCTGCTGCTGCAGCTTTGTGTGATATGTCACATCCCTCCAGTGTCTCTTACACCGATTGGCTGACTTGAGCTCAGATATCGGCATGGAAGCTCAGAAGAAAAAAAAAAGTCAAGACAATATATAGTCGGCTTTTGTTCCATGTCACTGCTTTATGTTCAGAGTGCGCTCGCTCTCCCTGCGTGACCTCAGCTTGCTGACCATCGAGTCTCCCAAACAAAAGCACAACATGTTCTGTCCTATCTCGATTCTATTTTCTAAACTGCTTCTTCCTCTTCTGGGCAATTGGTTGCTTTAAGACTTTGTCATTTCTGCTGTGTGTGTGACTTTTGGTGAAATTATTTTTTCTCTGAAGCTTTACGATACTCTCCTCATCATGATTTTTCCAAATTTCAGACTTGATGGCGTTTTTATGGGAGGGGATGAACCCCGAGAGCACATTCTTACCGGCAAAAAGAGGTTGAACATTTCCGAGATAAATGACCTTGTTTTGCTGTCCCACACGAAGTCTTTCACTCAGTCTTGAGGCTCCAACAAAACTCCCAATCTACCACTCTTTTGTACATTTCATTGGTAAGTCATGGACCCCCAAGCGGATTCATAATGCCGATTACAAGTTCTGTTCCCATCACAAACATGAAGTACAGGAAATGTATGACAAGTATTTGTCACAGTCATTGTTGTTCTTGTAATATACTACGACACCACACGCACTCGTCCACTAAAAGTGCTTCAGTGTGCATTTTAAACAGGTAAAATGTATTCAAATGTGAAATGGAGCACAAGGGATCATTGCCATTACACAAACAAAACATGCCTGCATATTTTATGACCAAGGAGGATGAGCACGTTTCTTTCTCTGACATGCGCTGATGTTCGGCTCCTCTTTGATGCTTCTGTGGTGCCAGTTTTAAAACAATGCTTCATCTGTTGCCCTGGTAACAGCTGCGAAGACTGCTTTGCCCTATCAGGTGCATTGTATGCAAGCGATATCGCTCTTCATTATAATTGCACATCTCCAAACTTGCTCAGAAAAGCTTTTTATCAGGCAACTAAGACACTTTGTCATATCTCCATTGAAGTGTCAATTTTTTTTTTTAATCATACGTATTCATGCATGAAGGAGGCAAGATGATGTCATGATTTATTTCGTAAAAGGTCACGTAGTGGCAGAGGTTGCGGTGCCCTAGGGTGTCTATTCATAGATGGAGACAAAAACAGCAGCGATGATTAATGGTTTCGACACATTTACCACGCTACATTATCTATTTATTATCTCTTAGAATCAAAGTGTTCAGTTTCCTTGCAAGTGCTGATAGCAGATGACTGCGATGCTACCATGTCACTTTGCCTGTACCTGAGAAATACCAACAAGGATTTGACATGACAGGATATGCCTTTTAGAGTCCCGCAGAGAAAAAAGTAAATTCCAGTAAATTTGGCCTCGTCTTGTTTTCTCTGATTACCTCATGAATGGCATTAACTTTTTCATTTCATCAAATGCCCCATCTAAAATTACACATTTTGACCTCACTTTCAACGTGTATTCAAGCCTTTTTGACCACCTGCTCCGTCAACGTGAAACTTTATTGCCACCTTGAGAGTGTGACAACCAAGAGATAAATCTTTATGAAGTGCTCATATTCAAAGCAGAAAGACACCACGTGAGGGGGGAGGTCCAACAGAAAGGCCCAAGTCTGCTGGCCGAGCATAAAATCACTGCTGGCGACGGGCGGTAACGGTGTCGTGATTACCACATGCGTCATGAAAAGCTGAACCAAAACCGGTAGCAAATGTTAGCAGACAAATGACTCAAAGAAGGGCAGACGAAAAAACTTTTAAAACCATAAAAATATGACGGCGACAGCTTGAAGCCAATTTCCTTACCCGACTACGAGGGGCAGTAGTCACTGAGTACTTGCCTGTTCTCACTGCTTCCTTCTCACCATCAGAGCGCAAATCATTTTAAAACGACGGGAGGTGTTGAAAAGTGAACCACAGGTACCTCGAATGTATCACTGATCTGTGATCACTTCAACTTATACTGAAGAGCAAGCACAGACGCATGCTGGTAGGTACAAAAGAAGGCTTGGGAGCTAATGTGTATTCAGATTGGGTGGAATAAAAAGTGCTTTCTGTCGGACTTTGTGGCCCTCAGGGTTGTACCTGAACAAATTCATTTTTTTGGGTTGAACGTAAACTGATGGTCGTGTATTTTTGCTTCGTGAACGTGTCTGTGAGTGAGCTCATTCTGAGACCAATGAACGTTTTTTTTGAATGGCATTTTATTTTTGTTCAAGAGTGGCAGTTTTTCTCTTGTTGGAGTACAAGGACAAAAGCTGGCTATGCACATTGCAAGCCAGCCTTAATTCGGCAGAAAGGCAAAACCGACCCCCAACAGTCGCACGGTGCATACATCATCAAAATGCGGTGTGTGCTTGGAGGAAAAAAAACAAAAAAAAAAACAAAAAACATTAAG